AGACTTTAAACCTTCTTTGCATTAAATTCTAAAAAGTTTCTTGTTGCCATAAATGGTCAAATCCTCAACAAAATCTCAATAACTTTGTTGGAACGAATAAACGTTTTAAATCAAATTTTCATGGACTTTGATCTACTTTTTAGCTTCCACCCTGACGAGCCATGTAAGCTGTCGGTATCCTGTTGCACCTACCGCACGTAAACTGTCACATTTCCATCTTGTTTTCTGAAATATTTTACCCAATTCATACGTGACAGGATTATTATCCTAGTAACTGGTGTTACCAATGTATTGAACATTATTAAAAAATTCAACAATACTATATTCATTTTGTGTGTCAATTTGTTTAGGCAAAACACAACTGCAAACTCTTCGAATACAAGAGAGATTTTTTTCAAATGTCATGATTATCTATCGATTTCTAGATCTATGCTTAGTATTTATTTCAGATGACATGGACTTCACACCCTGGTGACCCTGCTGTCTTTCATAATTAAATTCATATACATATATAAATAAACAAACTAAAGGCTGGAACTGGTATTTTTGCATTTAAAATGATTCGTTGTAACAAGAATATCTGTGTTGGTCAAAATCTTATATTGCTTATAAATGTTGCTGGACCAAGTTTGTTATCTGATCTGAATTTTCTGAAAAGTGCAAGGTAGATAGACATTGGCCTTTTGAATGTATTTACTCGGTAAGTTTTGCTCTAACTGCTTGAACTTTTGCGATATAAACTAAAAACTCGAATACATTTTAAAAGACAGTGGTCATGTTTGTAGATGAATATTGTTTTTCCTAGATTCACTCTTGAAAAATCATTTGATAACATTTGGTCAAGTAATTTCAGAAAAGATCTTTTTGTAATTACGGACGCCAAGTCAATACATGTAGCTCACACGGCCCCTCAACACAGGTGAGATAATAGCGAAACGGGTTGATAACCAGTTGAAATTAAACCAGTTTTGTAAAGTGTGTAGGTTTGGATTGTTTTAATCTTTTATGGCTTTTAAAAGTTAAATGTAGGTGTATAATTCAAGATTTTTTTGCATCTTATATACTTGTTTATATTCAATTGGTAGTATGAAGATACGAGATATTTTAATTTTTGAAATTAAAGGCACATTTAACAAAACAACCGATTTCAATAGGTGCATATACTTCTGGATTTTTAATATGCACAAGAATAAATTAAACTGAAAAAAAACCATATACGAATCTCTGAACCACCCCCCGGCAACATCTTTTTTTTTTTTTTTTTTGGGGGGGGGGGGGTCTATAAATGGGCAATTATCTTATCGTAAAGAGACAGTCGAGTACGTATTTTACTTTCAAGGCGTGTTTGAGTTGATTGTTTTGTCCTGAAAACGCATAAATAAAAAAAATTGTTTGATATATCTGGCTTTAGATTCGATTTTTTTTTTAAATATATGTAAAGGCTACATGTTAATATAATAATACTAAGAATTTACAGTATAAAATAATAAAATAAATGGGTGAAGTGAAATACCTTAGTAACGATTAATTACTTCAGAGTTTGACACACAAAACTTAAAAGCATCGTGATATTACCAATATTTAAATAAAAGTGTATTTCTTAGTCTGGTATTTTTTTCCGTTCACTCATTTTTCACTTATTTTCAATTAAAATTAAGGCATATTTTATTTTTAACCGGATTTTCGAAGGAAATATCGGTTATTAAAATGGTGACATACGGCGGGCGGCTGGGCGGATCTACTGGTGGCTGCCAAACAGCTTGTCAGCAGAATAACAAGAAAACGCGTTAACAAATTTTTTTTCAAATTTAATTATTAATGAAATATATTTAAATATGAGCTGCGTCGGATAGAAATCGACCTTATGCAAGTGCACGTTGACATGTACATGTGTAAGACTATGATTGATTATATAACATTCAAATACGAAATAAAAGATGAATTTTGAACTGCTTTGTAGGGTTCTTATGACAACTCGATTTCCAAACAGTTACAGACTTTCCGTGGAGATTTTTTCAATCCGAAATAGGTTTACAGATGTATTCGAATTCATTTGCATAAGGTCGATTTCTCATATAGAAAAGTAGGAGACATCGTTTACTCCCTTTCCCTTAGTTCTTTATCAAAAATCCTTGACAACAGACTTTATTTTGGCATTATAAAATGCAAAACTTAAAAAATCTTATTTCTGTTAGTGTTATCTAGGTTATCTCGTCTTCATTCTCTGACAAATTCTAGTCTGCCTTTCCATAAAATAGTGAAATATTTTTTTAAGTGTTCTATTGAACTCCCGAAAAAAAAACTGACAACCGTTCAGACAAAACTTTTATGGTGAAAAAATCTTAAAGATATAGCAAGTCATGCTTAATAGCTAATAGATACATTTTTATTTTAAAGTACAACTTTTAAATCTTACGGGAAACTCCGTGCCACTCTTACAAAATGTTTTTATGGTAAAATTATCATCTGCAGTAATAAAATCGTTCTTGAGCATCTGCATCAAATTATTTTTTATCAACAATTTTAGAATTTAAAAACTATTCCAAGCTTAAAAACTTTCACTGTGACCTCCCTCTTCCTTATCCCCTCCCCCCCCCCCCCCAAAAAAAAAAACAAAAACAAAAACAAAAACGCAATACTTTTGTCATCCTTTTAGTCAGCACTAAATTGCTCACAAAGAAAAAAGATTTTAGCTGCTGAAGACACATGATTCTTACGCGCAGAAACAAGGCAAAGTTTCATTTGGTTGAATAAAAAGAAAAGTATCTACAGTATCGTAAAAATTTGTCAGAGAAACATCACTAGTATTCAGGATGCTTACATGTATGTTACACTGAATGTATTATCTAAACTCATCTAAGAAGTGTTCAGGCTCACCTAATTGTTTGTGCCTGATTATTATAAAAAATGTTTAATCCCGATGCATTTTAGCGCCTCGCCCAAGTCAGGAGCCGCTTGCCTTTGTTAGTCTTGTAAGTTTTTTTTTAAATTTTAGTTCATTTATATGTTATGAAGTTGAGTGTGACATCAATTTTCATTGAACTAGATTACATTTTGTTTAAGGGCCGGCTGAAGCCCGCCTCTGGATGGTGTATTATTTTCGCTGTGTTGAAGAACCATTGGTGGCCGTCAGTTGTTACCTGCTCTATGGTCAGGTAGTTGTCTCTGACACATTGCCTGTTTCCATTCTCAATTTTATCAGAAAAAAGTCCTTTGTTCTATATTTATGCTCTCCATTTTTATGCAAAACCTTTTACATTTTGATTTTTTGGGTCATTGTTGAAGGTCGTACGATGACGCATGGTTGTTAACACATACTTCCTTTGGTTTATTATGGAAATTTGTCCATTGACAAACATACCACATCATCTTTTTCATATAGGTATTGTATATTTTACACCGTTGTTTGGTGATCATGCAAAAGAATCGTAATCCCGAAAATCGTAAACATATTTTCTTCTTTTCTTAAAAGGTGACAAGAGGAGTTCCATTAACAGTTCAATAAATAAGATTACAGTTAATAGGGGTATTTTTTTTTTTCATATAACAGTTAACAGATTCACAACAATGTCAATTTTAAGAAAACAGATAACAGCTAATTAGTCAATAACAGTTAAGCATCAATGATCTTGAATATTTGCCACTTTTAACTAAAATATAAAGGCACAGAACCAGGACATAGGAGCACAGAACCAGGACCGTTTTTCTAATCACCAGCACATCGTCAGGACAATTTCGTTTGGCGAACTTGCACGACTTTTGCAATAAAAAATTGTTGTAATATTCTTTGCATGGTACTTATGACGTATCAGAGAAAAACATAAGCAACAAAACGGCAGTTTTATTGCCGTTCTGATACAATGTAAACAAACCCACCAGCACAGAATCAGGACCCACCAGCACAGAACGTTCTCTCGCAGGACAACCTTACCCACCGTGATAAGGCTTCTTTCTTCTATGCTTCCATGCTACATATATAGTGAAGTTTACTATTTGGTTGTATTATCATAAAAAGATCATCGAAGTTCACATTTAAATGTGATGGTTGGCAGCTAAAAAGGCAGCGAAATATATATGTCTAAATAATAACAAATGTTTAATATTTTCGATGTTCCTGATAATGAACTCACCAATATAAATAGAAAAAGTTGTGGTATGATTGCCAATGAGACAACTATCCACCAAAAGCCAAACTAAGTGGGTGAAAGCAATTATAGGTAACCGTACAGCCTTCAACAATGAAAAAAAAAAACAATACCGTATAGTCGGCTTGAAAAGGTCCAGACATAAAAAATATGTAACAATTCAAATGAAAAAAAAAAAAAACTAACGGCCTAATTTATAAAAAAACATTTTACGAAAAAAAAAAATATGACAGACATAAACCAACGGCTACCACTGAACTACAGGCTCCCGACATGATACATGCACACAAATAGAATGGTTTTAAAAGTAAGTTGACCAGAATGAAGGCGTCATTCTGGAAGTGACAACAAATTGATAACGTATGGACAAAGCAAATAAGCCGTAGCAAACATCAGACCTTTTCTGGTTTTCTTACGTTCTCTTTATGACTTGTGTTAAATTATGCACTCACTTTGTTAGTTGTTTATGGCTTTTGGAAAAGAAACTTGACGTTAACTTTATCAGGTACATGTCGTGCACAAGAAAAACGTATCTTAATTTTTTTACAATCTATTATTAAAACCTACGACACATACTCCCTGTAGTTTCTCCTTGAAATAAAAAAAATGTTTCCTATTAATTTCATAGCTTTGCAATGGCTATTTACATGTACTCACGTACCATCTAAAATGTATTAAGGCATGTGACTTCTTTTTAATTAATTGATTTCAATTCTTCTAAATGTTATCTACTGACTTTTTTAGGTCAAAATTCTATTTATACGTTATATATATAAATAACGCAATTCTGAAATTTTGATATACAATAACTTCAGGCTTGACGAAACAGTTTTTTGACAATTGCAAATATCAATAATGCGTCAGATTTTGATTTCTGTATTCTTAATTTCTTTGACATATGGATATCCGTGGTTCCAGGGGAAAATTCCAAATGGTAATAAAGTGCCTGATCCCTGTAAAGGAGGCTCGTACATATGGCTTGGTGTAGGACATAAAAGCGAAGCAGGAAGCGGTCCAAGGAACAGTTTCGGTCAGGTGAGTTTTTAATTTTACATGACATATGTTATAAAATGAACATATTTAGGGTGGTTGTTCTACGAGCATGTGGCTATGCTGTCAATTTAAATTTGGTGTGGTACCAGAGCAAAATAATACTACCTTTCAATAAATATGCAGTTGTAAAAACTGAATATATATTGTTGAATTTATTTTCGTTAGTTTCATTGAGTTTGATTTGATAAAGACAATTCATTGTATGCAATAAAAGTATCAAGAGGTTAAAACAAAAACATGGTCCCCCAATATGTAAATCGACAAACAATTTAATCGGGACTTTTTTTGTAGGACTTTTTCCTAGCTAATTTCCGATGGACTGTTAATATTTGTGAAATGGATTCTGACGGTGACGGTAAGACCAATGGAGAGGAACTAGGAGATCCAAAATGTGAATGGTACATGGAAGCAACAAACCCAGTGATATCTAACGCCACTGGACATCCAGGTTAGTCCATTGGAAAGTTTATAATAGACTATAAACGTACAATGAAGTTAATTGAAACACTTAAAGTCTTTAACATATTTTTCCTATGTCATTCGGCTTTGAGCGTTCCTGATGAAGGTAAATCCAGAAAAGTGCGTCGGACGCATTACATTTACAACGTGTTGATTTCAGTTTTTACAGCACTGGGTCGATACCTATGTTGGTTAACTATTAGTCCCCGAGGGTATCATCAGCTCAGTAGTCAGTACTTCGGTACTGACATGATTTATAACAAACATTTCTAGAATTGTCCGTTTATGAATTTTGAAATTATAAAGAAACTGAGGTTTCAACTACCTCAGGCAAAGTTGACCTTAGATGGATTGGCCTATTATTTAGGTCTTTCTGGCCAAACAGCTCTTCCACTGTTTCTGTTCTTATACATCCTTGGCTTTCAAATATTTGGCTTTGAGCGTTCCTGGTGAAGGTAAATCCAGAAAAGCACTTCAGACGCATCAAATTTATAACATGTTGTTTTCATTTTTTATTGTCTTCGTGCTTGCAGTTGATTTTATATGATCCGTGTATCTAATTGTACAGACCACATCAACCCCAGAGACAATTGTTCAATAAGAATGAAAGAAATTAGTTTTGGGTTTAACATCAATGTGGCAACAAAACAATTACACAAGCCAACCAACAAAAAAGGACATTTCTTTCCGGTATTGTTTGAAAAACTTTGTTGATTATTGGAGCTCGTATGAGTTGTTGATCGCAAACTATAGTACAACAACGATTTTATTATTTTTTCTAAATTTATTTCAACGAGATAGAATTTCATCAAAAATATAAAAAAAATGAAATAAGAAAACAGTAAATAAATAAACATATAAAAGAAGAAACCTAAAATCATTTTCCACTATAATATAAAAACAAAGGTATTATAAATAGTCATTAAATAAATTTTTTATGTATAATTTCAGGAATATGTGAACCCATGAGTAGTCTTAAATGCAGAGACAAAAATGTAGGGATATACTGTGACAGTGTTAGTGGAAAATTTGGCCGATAAGCAGCTTTCAAACCATGCAAGACGAACTGGAAAGGAATTCTGCATAACAAACACACAATCATTGTTCGGTTACACGAACAAGTGCAATATGACGTTGTTTTATAAAATGCCATCCACGAACAAAACATAACAAAACATATTTTGTAATTGCATTTTATTTTATCTGTAAAACTATATTTTCATGTGTATTGACCTTTATTATGTGTATTATTAGAGATATAGATACAAGGGATCGACAATAAAAGCCGCATGCTTTTTGCAATTATCTGTGTTGTTTTAGTGTCAATAGATCGAACCCTTAGCTGTTTTTCAGTTTTCAGAAATTATCGTCTAGAATACATTTTCTGTCTTATATATTGATAGCCTTTGCTATGAATGTTTTAATACAGATTATTACAGAAAATTACAGAAGTCTCTACATAATCCCAGTTTTACAATTTCTAGTTCATAAAATTATATTATTGCAGTAGAGGATAAATCTATTTTTTTTTCTTTGATTGTAAACTAATTTAATGAAAATCCGAGAAATATATCTACGAAGACATATATAAAACAGATCTTTTTCCACACAAGAAGAAATAGTGGAAATATCCTATACCCACTAAATAATGTGCTAGTGAAATTACTTCGAACCTTATTTTACAACAGCCACAAGCACTGAGGACAGACTACATTAAAATTTTATTTTCACCGAACATAATCATGATAACGCTTTTCTATATCGACTGTATGTGCCTGTCCCAAGTCAGGAGCCTGTAATTCAGTAGATGTCGTTAATTGCTGTATACCATATTTGTTTTTTTCGTTTGTTGTTTTGCCTATAAATCAGGCCGCTATTCTTCTCGTTTGAATTATTTAGCAATTGTCATTTCGGGGCCTTTTATAGCTGACTATGCGGTATGGTTTGTGCTCATTGTTGAAGGCCGTACGGTGACCTATAGTTGCTAACTTCTACGTCATTTGGTCTCTGGTTGAGAATTGTCTCCTTGGCAATCATACCACTTCTTCTTATTTTTATATGTACATTTAAATACTGCCTTTACTGTTTATATCACATTGTATTTGTTGTATATGGTATTGATCCTTTAATCGTGCTGGACTTTGCATCATAAAAAAGAGACGGAAGATACCAAGGGGACATTCATTTTTATCCGCCACATTCGTTAGCGATAACATTCCATTTGTCTGACATACTTTTATGTATCAGATGCCTTAATGATGCAACTATTAAGCGATGCTGTATCGTATATGGTTTATAGACGGCAAGGTCAAACAAAATATGATTTATGTTTTTTGAAAGGGGGCGTAATTTCATAAAACTGAAGAAATACTGCTGAGTGCAGCGAGGCGAAATTTATTTTGGGACGATTTTACACTTTGAAATGATATATTTTCCAATGAGAGGGGAGCGTACACCCTCTACGCTCCCATGAATGCGCCACAACAGAATATATCAAGGAGTTCACATAGTACTGTGTACAAAAGTTAAGTTTGACCAATACAAATCTCTTCTCAAACCAGGAAGAGCACTTCCTGTCCAACTTTTGACACCCGTTTTGTAGACTGGTTCCCTGTCTTTTATCTGTTTGAGTCTGTCAGATATAAGTGACAACACGGGTGACTCAGATACTCGTATGTTGCAAGGGAGAGAACCAGCATTACTGTCGTGTAGACTGGTACCCTGTCCTTTATCTGTTTGAGTCTGACCGATATAAGTAACAACAAGAGGGACCCAGATACGCGTATGTTGCTTTTGGCTATACTTTTTTTGTCCTTTTAGGTTTATAGCTCTTCATCTTTTATTAAAGCTTTGAATTTTCAAATATTTTGGCCTCGAGCATCACTGAAGAGACATTGATTGTCGAAATGCACATTTGGTGCAGAAAAATTGGTACCGTTTATAATATTGCAAGGGAGAAAACCAACCTTTCCTAGTGTTGCTCATGACAAGTACAAATCTAATGATTGTCAAATAGGAATGCATACAAAAGAGCATTCACAAAAACACGAGGAGTTGCCGATGAGAAAGATCGAACATCAGATATTACTGAACAACAACAACAAAAATATTACCTAGCATAACGAAGACATTTTCATGGAAAGTGGTTAAGAAATGAGTTCACAGAATATTTTTTTGAAAACATACAATTTTTGATAAGATAATAGGGACAGCTTTGAAAAAAAGTTGACTTTTGCCTAATATGCTGTAATGTTGAAGGATAAATGAAAGAAACGATAGGAATATCTTTTGCTTAAAATGGATTATTCTGAACAAAAATTAAAAAGGTATTTTCCTCAACATGGACAACTATGAAATAAAAGGGAAATATAAAAATTAGATGATGTGGTATGCTTGCCGATGAGAAATCTATGAATCCAAAATGACGCAGATTTGTGTACCTATAGGTCATCGTCCAGATGTCCATATTTCTAATCGAAAATTATGTCAATTTTTCTATCTAAAAAAAAACATGTAAGTAAAATACCAAAAAGTTGTGGCAATAAAATATGCATTGTTACCTACCATGAAAATGATAATAATGATAAAATGTAGCAGTTTATCGCATATGTATAAGTAACTTTATAAATATAGTTTTATCATTTATATACCAGTTTCGGACAAAAATCAAATATGCTTTCAGCAGTTTGTATGAAACTTTGTATGAAACTTTGGTGAATTGTTTATATCTATATTGATGTAAGCTCCGTTTAGAATTTTATAAATTTTACATTTTACATTTCTGAGTGATGGGGTTTTATTCATTAAAAAAGGGGTGATTTTCCAGTTTTCGGACAATAGCTCAAAAATGCTGTCAGCAATTCTCATGAAACTTAAGTGAATTGTTTATATCTATTGATGCAAGCTCCCCTTACATTTTCATAAATTTCTAATATGACTGGGAATTAATTGAACTTTATTTGTTTATAGTCTGACGACAGATTTACTAAGTATTGCGCAACAGCACAGTGTATTGCACAACAGCAAGAAATTTTTTATTTCATCACGTTCTAATGAAGTAACAAGCTTATTTTGCCGAAAGTTAGAATGATTTGATCTACGCTTGAGTAACAAGTACCAGAAGTGATAAAAAAATTGTCTTTATGAAAATAACATGCAACCAACTTAAAAATCAATGCTTTAACCTCCTAAAGAAAATAAATCGTTTATGTCTTTGAATATCTCTACTTTCAAATGAAAAATTGCTGTTTCATCGACTTGGTAAATGTTGAATATTGCCGATGATGAAAGCGACTAAATTTGAGTATCGTAAACAACAGGGCTACTAGATTTTGCTTTTGAAGGTCGATCAAAGCGAAGTGGCGACCGGGTAAGCGACTTTGTCGCCCCAGTAGCATAGTAACGTGAGCCCTGCACAATGCTTATTACTTTAAAACACAGTCCTGTAATATTTTTTATTCTACTTTGAATATTGCCTGCTTATTTCAGCAACTATTCTTACAAAACAATCTTCTATTTATCCTAGGTGTTGCACTCAGTATTGTTGATTATATTTATATGTATATGTAGTAAAGTGAATGCAACCCCCTTTTTGAAGGTAAGTAACAGTTAACAAACTTTATCACTTATCAGTAGTTTAGAATGGTTTAAAAAAAGATCTAATAGATGTTACATGCATTATGCCTTCCTCTCGAAAAGTTTGCATGTGTTTTAAAGTGGTTATTTAGCAATGTAATTTTTTCCCTCAGTATCAACATTAATTTGGAAGCAAGTTAAAGGATTTCAGTTAACCAAAATTATTTCACGCCTAATTTATATAAACAAATCCCACGTCGATGTATAACATGTACAACAATCAAACATCAACCCACGCCAAACTGGATGTAATTGAAAGACATCTAGAGGTCAATATACAGTCTCGAACAATCCACCTACCATTTTATAAAACTGGGATTTCATTGCAGCTAGTCTATTAGATAACATTTTATAGTTTTGAATGTTTTTTCATCAGTTAACTAAAATTAGGTGGAGGTATGTTCTTATTTCTGACAGAGGGGTACTCAACCTATATCAATTTGTGCATGAAGCGATTGACAGGTTGCTAGATACTGAATAATTTTACCACACATTTGTGAAAGTTTTAACCGGTGTATATACTTAAAATATGTTAATAAAGTTCATGTCTTTTTCAGGACTTCTGATCCAACCATGTAGTATGGCATGTTTGTGAGATATGGTTTTGGCCAGTAGGATTCATGAAGGACCTGTAGTACAAAGTATATCACTGGATTGAGCTCATTGTCTAAGTGTATTATTAAAGTGCTTTGCTTTGAGCTCAGTTCATTGTTATGCAATTCATTCTTTGTGAAATAAAGATTTGACAGACAACTCTCATGTACAAGGAATTGTCAAAGTAGTATCCATTCTATGTACAATGTAAGTAATAGGGAGATAAAAGCATTTTATTTAGATTTGAACCAAACATTTTTGACCATTAGCCAAACTAAAAAAAAAAAACACAAATTCACCAAACAATGCTACTGGCGCTACTAGCAATATGATGCTAGGTTCTTTTGTTGCACTTTATTTTTTTACATCTGTACTGCCTACTGGCGACTCAGTCCTGAGTATAAATGGTCATACAGTATGTTATTAAAAAGACCAAAATTTATAAGGCCTATCTGGCCGATTGATTTCTAAAATATATTTCATTGTACATGTTCAACATTTATCATTCATTTGTTTATTTCTTAATTGGTGTGAATTAACAGTAAATGTTAATTACTACACTTTCATACCATAACAAAACTGCCTTACTGTATTGGTATAACTTATATTTGTATCCATATAACAAAAAAAACTGAAAAGAGAGTACTTTTGCAATAGCTTTTTCATATTGAATACTAAAACTTTTTAGATATTTAGACATATTAAGAAGATGTTCATAATATCCACTTGACATTTTATCATATGACTTCTGTAGTTAGTTATGAGTCTTTGAAGCATGCTCACAAAGGTTCTTTTGTTGATATCATTTTCA